CAATGTTTGACGAGCCGATATTTTATTCCCGAAATCTCGCGAGGATATGCAATCGATAAAATTGAAATAACAAAATTTGCGTCCAAATTAGTGCAAGTGCAATACAATATTTTTTATTGACAAAAGAAAGTGGAAGAACTGTTGGTTGAATCACGAAGAAAATAAAAAGTTACTGAAGAACAATAAAGAGTTTAAGAGAATAAATATACTTATTTCGAAAGATATTATCTTTAATTATACTATTTATAACCTATTTGTACGACAAAATAGAACATACTGAACATTCAGAATGATTGCTATGCTTTTTATCCTTTCCTATTGCAGATTTTTTGTTGAAATAGTTTTCATAATAATTCGAGGGTAAATGGATCTCATTATGATATTGAATGAATCCAAAATGCCATGATATTATAAGCAATACATGATCAGTAACTCATATCACGTTGTCCAATTTCGCAGCCACACATGGGGTCAATAATTCATGATATTTGTTTACTCATTTATCCAATGATACATGGGTGAAGTATTTCAACCAGTTAATATTGCGAGATTACAGTTGTGTTTCAAATAAGATACTAATGTCGCGATTCAAATGGAAATAATTTTTAATTCGAAAAAGAAAATTAAGTAATAGTAATTTCCATTGAATAAGGACGTGTTATTGTAAGGACCAGTATATTGATACTGGACTTATTTTGGATCACCGGACCTATTTTTGTGAAATGTGATAAAAATTTGAAAATTGCCTTATCAATTATTACGAATTATTAGAAACTATGAATATATTTTCCAACGTTTATGTAGAAACTTCAATTAATATAAATACCACGATTTTGCATTTATATTTTCACTTTAATTATTTAAAAACTCAGATATCAAATATCTCGAATTGGTTTACAATTTACAATTTTAATATTATGCCCCTTAAATAAATAACATATTCATAATGTCAATTTAACCGTAATAATCACTCAATACTATCGCATTCATTGAATAATAATTATTATTCATAAAGACAAAACATCTGTTCCCGTTGCAGAAAAACTTCATTTGTAAATTTTTTAACGCATTATTTACCGGTCCACAATTTACAGTTAAAACCCGTTTAATGGAGTAATCGAAGGTAACAGCAATTTCAGTCTGTCAACAAGTCGCCTTCTATAATATAATCTAATAATTTGGAATTATCATAGAAAAGAAGAATCTAAAGATTTCTCTGAATATATCGCAGTAATTGAAAATCCTATTAATAGACTTCGAATAGATAAATTGTTAAGTTTTACTCAAACTGAAACATTTCGTTCCAGGAATATTTCTCGATCTGCCCTAGGCCGGAACTCGGAAGCATATTTTAAAAGTTCGTGGTCCATTTGCTAAATAGAACTTTCTAAACAGTTCCACCATTTTCTCCATCATTTACTTTTGCCATAACTTTGCCAGCGCAAGCCGGTTAAATAATCGCGCTTCGACAGTTCCCGCAGAGTTCACAGAACGGCACGTCATCGTCCTCCGTCCAGTTTCAAATTCAAGTCTGGGGTCGAACAAAAAGCTGTTTTCGTTTGTGCAGAGCGCAGATTTATTTTTTATTGCGCCGGCAAGAACGCAAAACTTCTTCTGCATGGATTAGCGATTTCTGCTCGCGCTGCGAACGCGCGCTGACCGACTTCGGGACTCAGATTATTGTTGCGGATTTAATACAAGTTGAGGAGGAAACCCAGTTTCCGGTTGCAGAAAATAAGACGAACGAGAATGTCAAAGTTTCCAGCAAAGAAAGCAGGAAAATGGTAACCGTAACGAGCTCCAGAATTTCTGCTTTAGGACAAGAGCTTGCGCGCAACTTCCTTATTATTTTCATGCCTTCGATTATTATTATGAGATTTTCGTTGAACGACTGTAACTTCGCGGTAAACAATCCAACGCGTTTAATTGTTCTTTCGTTTTTATTTATTGTCCAGATATTAAGATTTCGCACGATTTTTATTATGAGCTTTTTATTATATATTTGCTGCGAAGGTCGCTCGGAGATTACGATTTTGAGGAAAGCGAGGTCGAATGTTCTGAATTATTACGATTAGACAGTGGATTTTATGCATTTATAATAAAAATTGGTAGATGAAATTTAAAACAATGAAAATATTATAAGAATTGCTGGACATGTATGTATTATTTTCAATTCATTGAAATTATTAAATGAAGAAAGAAATTTTTATTTGACTCATTATTGTAATTGACGAAGAGCAGTTTTATTTTGCATAAAAATCTAATTACAACTTCGTAACAACGTCAGTTTGTGATACGCAAATGGTATTATACTACATATATCGTATACTATATCGAAATATAATAATATTCTTTTTGAGTACTATAAATGATTGTTTATATTTAAAGGAACCTTATAATTCTGATTTATAATGAGAAATTCACTATTTAGTCGAGAGCCACTTAACATACTGTTATTGGTAAAATAAATATTTAACAAGGATTACTCTAAAATCTATTTTTCACTACGTTATAAGTACAAATACATAATCAATGATAAAGAAAAGAACGAAACGAATGGTTATATTTATAGTAACGTATGATATGAGACTTGATACTGTTCTCGAAATTTTCATATATTTTGCATTTCTTTAATAAAATTAATGTGTCGTACATAGTATAACTAAATATTGATTTTTCTGTACCAATAATTCGAAAACTTCTAACTTTTAGTTGCATCATTGTTGTAGCAAATAAGCGATAACTGAGTAAACGTCCCATAAAAGCTCGATCACAATGTCAAACTAATCGTAGAAACTCGCAGTAGTCGAAGAAAATATTTATGTAAAATAAAGGAAATAGCAACAACAGAGCCAACAAAAATAGTTTAAACATATATAGGACAGGATTTTCTGCCGGGCATTAAAATATGTAGCTTGCGCTGTTAAATTGCGTGAGCGTTGCGCCTCTATTTGCGGATTAAATCTACATGTATGACCGATAATAAACGAGACACTCGAAAGCCAGACTGGTCAACTTGATCCTATATGTTCTAATTATTTTCAAAAATCGATTAAATTGTTTCCATGAATCTATGACACTCACCTTAAACACTATTTAAACGTGTTTAATGCTGTATAATGTTATACAAAGAATATAACGTTGAATTTGGAAAAATCTGTTGAATTATTATTCGTAAGAATCGTGCGCGATTGCTTTTATTAGGTTAGGACAGTAAAAACTCTTACAGTACTTTTCCTTGGAAATTATATTTTATAAAAGTTATTGAATGCAGAAAAATCACTTTATGATTCGTATTAAGCGCATGTGAAAATTTATAACGTCCACCTATTAATGAACAAAACGCAAAAGGGAAGTTAAAATTTGTTGTGTGTGTGTGGGGGGGAGGGCAGCATTATTAGCATATACCAGATATTATAATTAACTGCAGTGGTATCTCATTAGTAGGATCTCAACAGCCGTTGCCATTAATAATTGATGCGCATTGTTATTGGTATTGTTCGTGTCTGTCATTTGGCGTTTAAAACGGCTCGTAATGGTTATTGGGATAGGTGGACTAATGGGTCAGATAGCGGTCCTGCAATATTTAGGAGCCTTGATCGGAGAAAACGTTTTCATATTTATTCAAGTACATTGCCGGGTTCAGACAATGAACAGATAAACCATAATTTAGGTGTTTTCTCGTGGACCCAGATAGAACGCGAGAACGATGCTGCATTCCTGAAAAGTAGGCCTCGAATATGGAAAAGCGTGCGAGACTAAACCTCAAAAATAATAAACTCTCGTATTGAAATAAAACATAAATCATTGACGAGCCTATCGCGATTAAAAATATAAGATTTTCTAATTAATGTCAGGAACTATAAAAACGCTCATTGTTATCATATTATTAGTGGTCAAATCAATTAACTTCACAAGTTCGTAGAAAATTTCCAAAGACAAACAATCTCTTACATGTATTAATTTTTATGTCTTTTGTATCCTGCAATATGAAATCTACATCTTTAATAAATCACTATGTAAATTTAGTTCGTTAATAAATATTCCTTACAAAATGTTTACGAATTAATCTATCTGGTGAACAATTTTTTATGTTTATCAATTTTAACATTTTCCGGATCGTACGATATTGTATAACCTAAATCGTTCATAAATCACTGTGTAAACTTTGTACATTAGCAAATTCTTCAGCAAGTTCTTCATTGTGTGAAAAATTTTTTATGTATGTTAATATTAATGTCTCTTGTATCGTGTAATGTTAAATCTATAACTTTAATAAATTATTGTGTAAAATTTTGTTACCCATGAATTCTTCAGAAAATATTGAGAGATTAGTTTTATCACAGTTTTCATTATGTCGAGTTGATCAGTTTTGAATTGGAATGTCGCAAATTACTTTCTCAACGTTAGAACTGCAATAATTTCTTCCAAATTTGCGTCCGAATCTTTTATTCAACTAATGTGCCGAATGAATACATCGAATAACGTGCAAAATATGCCCAACTCTGATGTCAACAAGCTTCGAAAGACTTGTTGTCGATTTGATGTACAGTAAATTCTCTCCAATTGACCTTCAGCTTATAATAAAAAATGGACAATATGGAAAGATGAAGATACGATTATTCGAGCTTTGCGGCTCATTTTTATAGGTAACGTTTGTCAACAACTATAAAAACGAGACGCAAGGCTGGAATAATCCTTTTCCCAAATTGTCCATTTTTGTGCACAATTTGAGAGCGAATTAGGGAGAATTTATTATACTATGACTTTTTCTTTTACATTTCCTGGTATTACAAAAATTTTGTAAGAGAAATATTTAAATGAACTACTTCATTCCAATATGTATTATAATAAAAAGTCTAAATAAAGTATACGAAGTCTAAACAAAATCTAATCTTATCATTGTTATAAAAACAATACAGTTTAGTCGCTTTTAAGACTCTGTTGTTTTAATATTAAAATTCCACGAAATATATTTTAATATTGACCAAATCACTTACCCAGTACGCCGAGGCGAAAATTGATAGAAACGACGATAAGGCGACCATAAGCAGCTAACGCGGTTCCGTCAAAAGCGTTTCCAGCACCCCATGAATAGGAATCACCGTGGATAAGGAGGAGGGCAGGTAACAAGTCTGGAGTACTACCTGAAACATCAAACACTGATTATTAGTTACCAAAAAAAAGAAAACGGCACAGCACAACGAGTAATCTCGGAAATCCCGAAAAATATTGGAGACGACTTAATTAAAGGCTCATCCCGGTCGATTCTCTTGTTCCAAATCAGAGTTGAGTTTGACTAATTTTTCATTCGATTAATACGAAAAATTCTTTATTCGAATAATTCGAAAAAGTAATACGAGAGAAATAAATCGTACACTTCATAAAACACTTCATATTCTATAATTTTGATACAAGTCAACTATATTCCGTATAAATATGCACGAATAAATTCTTATTCGAATGAATTCTAAATCGAATAGAATTTGATTCGAACAAATTTTTATCTAGACACATTTTTATTAGTTTGAATATTTATTCAAAAGTGACGAATAAAATTTTATTCGAATAAATTGTTATCTAGATAAATTTTTATTCGACAGCGTCGAATAAAATGTTATTCGTTAGTCTTTATATTTTATCCGTCGTCCGAATAAAATTTTGTCCAACTCTGTTCCAAGTACAGATTGGTCACTAAGAAACTGAAGGGTTTGAAAGCATCATAGCTTGTTCATTTTTAATCTTTCCTATCTTTTTTTTGTAGGTTATACAGGGTGGGGCATTTTAAACAGGTCACCTGAATAACTCGCTTGTTTTTAAAGATAGGAGAAAATGCATTAGACCAAACTTACTTGGTATCGGGGAGCTCATAAACTTCATAAACCGACATTTCTAATCCTTCGCTGAAATGTATAAATCTCTGAATTTTTCTTCAAATTATTTTCTAAAACAGATAATTTAAAATTACCAATAATGTTTGAGGATACGGATAAGCGTACAATGTGATTGAATGTTTGTTTATCTTTTGTGACCCGTGTCACGTAATACACACACGTGATACACAAGTATTCGAAAAGTACTCTGAGACAATTTATTTTCTCTTGCAGTTGACTTCGGGTGACCTTGAATGACCTTCATAATAGTTCACTTTATTCGCCTCGAAACACTCTATCGAAATGTAAGTAAAAAAACTTACTGTTCCATTTAAGAAAACAGAATTGACCTTCATATCTCCTTGACGCCTCCACCTACAGAAAAATTGGTAATACCAGTTTATAAGAGCCCCCCGATACCAAGTAAGTTTGGTCCAATGCATTTTCTCCTATCTTTAAAAACAAGCGAGTTATTCAGGTGACCTGTTTAAAATGCCCCACCCTGTAGATTAAAATGGCTACGTATGATGTCCAGTATCACGGGGGACGGTCACGAACAAGAGATGTCTGCGCGGCAACACGTGATTTCTACTTAAGGAGAACATTCGAGCCGAAGTCCGGCATTTAAGACCTGAAACCTTGCGCAAGGTCGTGGAAAATGCTAGAGGAACGTTGGTTTTTCGCATACATTACTTATATTTCCAAATAAAATAATAACGAATTTAAAAAACACATGTTTGTAAAAATTACTTTTGTATCAATCGTTTTTACTTTTGTAAATATTACTTTGTTATATCATTCGGTGATCGCCCTGTATAACAACGCGATTTGCATGCGCCGTAAAAATAGTACTTTCGCAGCTGTGAATTTGTTTTTTCGAAGTTATCCGTTAAATCGCGCACGGAGAGGCCGCTGTTTAATGTCGCCGATGGATAAATTTGCTTTGTACCGTCGAATTAATAAAAACCTCGTGGACAGTACGTAATTACTTTCCGGGGAAACGTAAGAATATTTGATCGCGTGACCGTTTAGTATCAGGCCCTTAATGAGCGTTCACTTGAAGGTTCACCAACAACTTTAATTTAGAGAGTACAGGCCCGCAATTAACTTAAAAGCAAGCCAAGCACTCAGGTGCAATTGCAAATAACGCGTACAGCGGGTCCGCGTTACCGCGGCGGATCACAAGCAACCAAATATTGTCCTCCGCTTCCAATTTATAAATGGATGGCGCAAGAAGGCTATTATTCGGCAACGCGTACAGTCCCGTATCGAGTATATCGTTGCAGACACCGTGTATAAAAATCGCGGGAAATGTACCTCGACGCATCTTGCGCATGCGGTGAACGTCAGCTGAAATAAAATACCGCTAACCTTTCACATTTTGCCGGGACGTGGATATTTTCAATTCCCAGAGCCGTTCGCGTCACGAAATCCATTTCATATCATGTTTATATCCCACGCAAAAATACTGGACTGTTCCCCGATCGATCATGCCAATCCGAACAGTTTTTACAACTCGCTGAACATTCCGACAAATTTTAAATGTCGATCGCTAATCAACAAACGTTTCGATTCTTCGTCGGTCAATTTGTTCACCGAGCAGCGCCGTTTATGAACTTTGCATCTC